TCGCTTCCATTGTATTCTATCGCGGAATTCGAAGCATTCTTTAAACAATAATTTTAATTTGACATATTCTAACTTAACACAATATTTCCAGTTGATGAGACTATTGTCTTATCTTTCTGACTTTTAGTTTCTTATCGCTCAGAAACTATTCCAAACACACGCCTAGATGATTGTAAATAATTTTGTTCTGTTTATACTATAAATTTAATTGCTTTTTGTTATAATTAGCTTTAAATTGCATATTTAAATAGAAATAATGAAACTATGAGCTTGTTATTGGAAATAAATTCTTAATTTTGATTATTGATTACGCATGCTTTAAAACTATTTTCAAACGCGATGCTTATGATTAAATTATCTAAATTGCATTGTAATAGTGCAGATTTCTATTTTATTAGCGTGCGTATTTAGATACTTTATCACGGTCATTATATACAAATGATATATAAAGTAAATATAAATGTGTTATATAGCAAAGTAATCATGTTATAGATTTATATTATTTATTTTAATTTATACGAATGATGAACAATTTACCTCTTATATGATTAAAATTTGTATTTAGCGTACAGTCTTGTCCTTCCCTGGATGGATGGATTTTTAAGAATTTTTGGACTCCTCCCCCTTAATGATACTTGATGATTTTTAAAATAACCCCACACCAACATTTAACATCACATGTATTTTAGTACCTAGAAAAACGTTAAATTTTTGGATTTGAAGAAAATTGATTTTTTACCCCACATTTAACATCACATGTATTTTTAGTACCTGAAAAACGTCAAATTTTTGTATTTGAAGAAAATTGTTTTTTTTTTTTTAAAAAAAAAAAAACTAGGTGAAAAATAAATACAGATAATATCTTACGAAACCCATCTCCCTTCAAGTGATAATATTGTGATTTTTTGTGAAACCCTTTCACTCCTTTTAAAGCCTCACGTGATTAATAGCAGCCCCGTAATCCTAATATTAATTTTACAACTATATTAGCGACAAATGAATTTCTTTTGAATAGATAGTTGGTAAATAGTAGATTTTTTACTGTACAAGTGTACATACTGCAACAACCACAAAAATTCCATCATTGTATCTTTATTTTGTTTCTGAACACTTTGGAAATATAATAAAAGCTCTAAATTAGAGGATAAGCAATATTTGCAAATCATGGAAGTTATCCAAACCTTGAACTCATTTCATAAAATCTTATATTTGTACTGAAATATGATTCAGTTGTCAGTATTCTATAAAGGGTGAAATTTCATGTCATCACTGTTTTTAAAAATTATTTAATTTTAAAGAAAGCTCAAAAAATTAGCTAAGTCCTGCATTTGAGACTTTCACTCGCTATTTAGTTTATTTTTACATCTTTTTTTTAAACTGTTAATCAAATAAAGACCATAAATAGTTATAAAATATATGTTATACATTCAATAAGCATTGGTAGCAGAACATCTAGCAATAAAATCAGCAAACTTTTTGCATTGGGAATTTTTGCTTGATTATTCAAATAAAGAACGATAAATTCCTAGAACTATCAAAGAAAATACTATTTCCAATTTCTTATACGACACATGTTTTGTATTATGTATTATCCATTCGATAAGCATTGGTAGCCGATGTGAGAATAATTATAACTTTTCTACAATTCTATTGCACAACAAGCGCGGCTAATTGCTCTGTATCGTGTTCTGTTCGGAAATTCAGAACATAACAAATGATTCGTGTTATATTTTGAAATTTCGAACAATGAAGTTATTGAAATTATCGAGAGACCATAAGTGGGCAGCGGGATTAGCTAAATGTATTTCTCGGCCTCCTACGCGGACGCACACGAAATTTATTTGCTTAAATACATATGAAACATCTCATGCTGATATCGATTACGACTAAATCAAAGAGGAGAGTGTTAGGCTTGGATATGAAATCCGTAAAAATAAGATTATATAAACATTTTGATCATATTGCCGAAAAATAATAAACTATAATAAAACTAAAATTGAATTAACTAACGATCAGGTTCAACACGACTCAATGGATGGAAGTAAGAAAAGTTTGCTATTTTTTTAAATATTACTTCTCCTTTTTAATAACTGGGTAAAAAGCTTTTTTGATTAGAATTATGCACATATTAGGTTGATTCAAGTATGATGTCCAATTTTACTACAAAATTATTATATTTAAAATGATTATTATTTAGAGGTTTGAAATATTTGCTAATAAACTAATTTACTTGTCCCAAATTCTTAAACTAATAATGCAAAGGTATATTATATAAAATCAGACATAAAAATAGCAAGGCAGGGAAAAGGAAATAACCAAATTGAAAATTCTCAATTATTTTTCATTAATGGGGAGGGTCTACTGCATCTAGCTATTTAAATCTATAATATATAAAATAGATTATAGAAATAGCCAGATTTTAGGTAGGTAAGGGATAAAATCCAAGTGAAATTTTGCCAGAGTTTTATACAATTTCAAGTAAAATGAAAATTTTTTAGTTATCATCCATCGAATGAGGTCAACTGCATTTTGCTATTTAAACCTATAATTTATACAGAAGTACACAGTAATATACCAAGTTTCTGGCAGGTAAGGGAAAAAAACAAAATGCAACTTAACCAGCATTTCAAAAAAGCAGTTTGAAACAGTCAACTGCCTCGAGCTATCTAAATCTGCAATATATACAATAGTACAAAGAAATAGTCAGATTTTAAGTAATTAAGTAATTAAGTAAAGTTTTACCAGCATTTTAAACAATTTCAAGTAAAATTAAAAGTTCTTACAATTAGTTATCATGCATCGAATGGGGGGTCAACTGCCTCTATAGGTGCCACGTCGTGGAATCAATTAAATTCTTCGATAAATATTTTGTTTTGATTTTTATATGGTTATTTTCCAATAGATACAGTATTATTTGTGAACCATCAATTATTTAGTATATTCTTGGTTATATTGTTACTAGTCATTACTTGACATCTGAAATTTTTATAACAATCAGAAAAAAATAGAGGGAAAATATTTATATTTCACATATATGTAATATCAATATCATCTTGAACAAGTTTACATTTAATTAGAGTTGAGTATTAGTTTTTGTTATCATTTTTTATTTTAAGAGTTTTACTATAAGTTGTGATAATAAAAAAAGTCACTTATTCATTTTGTAGGAGGTACATTATTGATACTATTTAATTGCACGTGGTTCACACATTCAATACTTGCTCATTTTTAACTTTCCGTAGGGTAAGTTACAGTAATTACTAAAAAATTGAAAATGAAAAGTTTTTATGTATCTTTACGTTTCAAAGGTTTTTGAATATTTTGGCATACCTTAAAAAATGGATGTATGTGTGCGGAGACAAATATTTGTCGACGATTTCGGGAACACCGATCAATCGATTTGAATAATTCAAAAAACATTCGATTCGTATTGATAAGGAAACGTGCTTAGTAGTTTTTGGCGAAGGCAGGTCTAGCGGTCAATGAAAATAAGTTAAAAACAATGTAATTTGGCGGTCAAAAATGTTTATTAGACATATGTACATGTGTACACATATTGTGTAATTTTTTTTAGGTTCCGTACCAAGATTTTTAATTACGGTACGGGAAGTTCCATCAATTTGCATTAAGGCACGATGCCATGCACCCCACTTGTTAAATGATTTAATATAATTTGCAGCAATGTCGAAATCAGCCTGAAGTTATAATATAAATTGCTCTAACTTTAAAATTTAATCAGAGTTTTTTCCTTATAATTTTGCTGAAGCGCAGACCTTATAGAAATCCAGACAGTCATAATAATCTATTATGCCTACATGGCCGGTTATGTTTAGGACACTTTCACACTATCGCTTCCTTATAAGGTTGTATTACGAGTATGAATTTTTCTAATAGCGCAACGCACACACGCAATTCTATTCACGTATGACTTGGGCATATATGTACAATTTGTGTAGGTTTTCTAGACTTTGTACCAGCTGGAGCATGTAGGTTCAATAATATTTCTTTTATTTATGTATTCTTATGTTAATTTCTTAAAACTTTTGCAAGTACAAAACAATGGTTTTTCTTTTTATAAACGAACGATGATATATGGCAATAAGGAAATTATGAATTGTTCTTCATGTTGCATACTCATTATATAACGAGGATGTTTTGTTATTTAATAGTAAAAAAGAATTTTTTTTGTATGACTAGTATTTGTACACATATTTTTTTATTTAATAAAATTCATCATTGCTACATCTTGCATTCAAGTTCACATACCTATTAAAAAAGTGCACTTTTTGTCATTTTTAGTTTACTGGATACTAAATTTTATATTCAATAATTCCAATATATAAATTAATTTTTGTCGGTAATTATATATATTACTGATATTTACTATATTACTCTCATTATTAAAAGGTAGAATAAGAAAAGGATATATTATACTTTTTCCTTCATTTAACTTTCTTGTGCTTTGCCTTAATTTGTTTTCTCGTGCACTTTTGTATCATTTATTTTCATTATTTATATACGATTGTGTATTAGTCTAAGGATTTCTTAATTTAATTTCTTATTTCTCTTTAATAAAACCACCTCTCAGAGATGTACTCGTTTTTTTTTTTTTTAATAATTTCACTATCTACACAGCTCTCTATTTTTGACATATTTTACTATATTACTTTATATAAGGTTCTCTATAATATCTCTCTCACTTAGTAAAGTTTGAATATCAGATCTGTATAATGCAACTTTATTATGTTGCATTTTAATATTTTCTTACCTGTAGAAATTCAATTTGGTTTTGGAAACTTTACTATTATTTTACTTTCTTGTTCTCAATTGAGTGATGTCAGTATCCTTATTTTCCCTTTACAACGACGGCCGGGTACATATTTTCTTATTTATAGTTACAATCCTGGATAACAGACCACCATGATCGTATAATTACTTTTTGCTTTTCAACTTTAAAATTTATTTTATACTAAAGCTAATTCTATTGTTTATAATTACAGATATTGCAAAATCTTGGCAAAGTAGATCGTACCGCAGATGATATTTTTGATGAGCATTTACAAAACTTCACCAGGCAGCAAAATAGTGCTAATAGACTGCAAAAGGAATTTAATAACTACATAAGATGTATTAGAGGTGAGAAGAATTGAAAGCTTGGAAATTTTTATAAGATGTATAATTATTCAAAATCTGAATGATAATTAAATATAAGCATACTTTTTCTTAAAGTTGTATTATCTCTTTTGAGAAATCTTCTTTTTAAATGTTTGCTATTACTAAATATTAAAGCAAATGCATAGTATCGTTTACATTTATCTCTCATATTCAAATGAACTTCAATTCTAGCTGTGCAAAGTGCTTCCAAGTCTTTAATGGAAGCAGTATCTGAAGTCTACGAAAGCCCATGGAGTGGGCACGATGTTTTGCTACACCAGACAAATGCTTTGGAAATGTTGTGGCAAGACTTCTCTCATAAACTGGGTGACCAAGTTTTGATACCACTTAACACGTACCAAGCCCAGTTCCCAGAGATGCGGGTAAAATAAAAAAGAATGTTCAATCTATTTTATTGAGAGTAATTTATTTGGGAGCTACCACAATTTTCTTCTATGTGATACAGTGATATCCTTGATGATTATTTGAATTATTCATTAGTTTTGTATATTAATAATATTATTGATAAAGGGCAATGATTTACATATTAAAATATACTTGTAAATTCCAAGAGTTCTATAAATTATTATTTTTATAGTTATTTCCATATATTTCTATTAATTTTGTTTTTATTTCTTGTTTCACGAAGTTATATTAAATAACTACATTCGAACAGATTTTTTCCTTATTAATAATTAATATATAAACATTAAGTGATACTATTATTGTATTAATTATATTTTCTCAATCATAATTTCCAGAAAAAAATCGACAAAAGAGGCCGAAAACTCGTCGATTACGACAGTCAGAGGCACAGTTTTCAGGGTCTGCAGGCAAACGCGAACAAAAAGCGCGACGATGCAAAGGTAAATAATAAGGTCATTGTCTTGCATGGGTATGATATGAATGTTATACATAACTTTAGAATGATATTAAGTAACATTTTATAATTAACAGGTTACAAGAGGTAGAGAACTATTAGAAGAAGCAAAACGCACGTATGAACAACTCAATAGCGAACTGCACGACGAATTACCAGCATTGTACGATTCTAGAGTTTTATTCCTTGTGACTAATTTACAAACGCTTTTTACTTCCGAACAACTCTTCCACCAAGAAACTGCTAAGGTAATTGGACTCTGAAAATATTAGATTTACAATCACATGCATAATGCCAATCAAACTATTTCAAATATATAATCACGTTCTATTATTATTACATTTTTACATTACATTACTATTATTACATTTTTGGTTTAGAAGAATAGTGACATTCTTTTATTACAGCCGACGGCGATAATGCTATTGTTCAAAAATTGAGTTTCACCTATAGTATTGAGCAAATCAAATAATGTTTTGCAAACAAACGTTTCACCCTATCCCTGCTAATCATACTGAATACTGAATAACAATTTTGATATTCTTTATTTTAATTGGAAATGTATTCTAGGTTTATGCTGAATTAGAAGCTATAGTCGATAAATTAGCGACAGATAGTCAAAGAGGATCCTACACAATTAAGAAAATGAATAGTGTTCTTCCATCAGGCGGAACTCTACCACACTCGCCTAAAAACAACGTACAGTCAAATAATCTTAACAATACCAAACCAACTTCTCCAATTAAAAATGGTAAGTTTGAAGTTCCTATTAATTAAATATTCGAGTGTGTTTTGAAGTTTGATTTGTGAACAATAATAAGTTGATAGTAGTAAGTTACTGTGGTTTTTTAATATATGACACATTCATTAAACATCGATTTTATATTAGTTAGATAATTACAGTAACATCTTTATAAATAATTTATATTATCTATTTAGGACTAATATAAGTAATGTTTTGTAGAATCAAGTAGTACTCATTTTTGTTAATTGAAATTTAATTAATAATAGAGTTTGAATGTGTTAAATATTGCTAACCATTTGGTGAGAAATTTACAGAAATTTTTGATACCAGCAAGGACTGAAATAAAAACTTAAATCCAAAATTATATTTCCATATTTTTGAGAAAATATTTCATTTGATGTGAGGTACTAGTTTCTTTATGTAATTATAGTATAATTGAAAAAATTAATTGTTTATTATATAGGTAAAATATGATTTAGTTTAAAGTTTAAATCCATCGAAAATCACTTTAGGATCTTTAATGGTAATAACATTTACTTCATAAATATTTGTGGATGCTTTTTTTTTGCAATTCAGCATTATCTTGCATAATGCAGAATTGTTTTTCCATAAAAGACTTTTACTTTCTGTGTTGTTCTCATCAATATTTACATTTTAAATTAACGTTATTAATAAAATTAACAAAAGCATGTATTGTTTTTTCCTAATCTACAAAATAAACAGCATTACCAGACTCACCCACAAAGTCGATCACATCGAGCGGCGGTGCTAGTGTTCCGAACACCAATGGAAGCAATAACAATCTGACCTCTTCTAATCCTTCCAGTATCATAATGACTCCAAGCACTCCGCCTTCATCTCCTCCGCCGCCTTCCTCAAGCCCTCCACCATTGACCCCAAACATAACCAAATCCGATACCCCAAATCCTGTTTTGAATAACGATACCACGCAATCAACAAAATTGTCAAACGGAGATCATACTATTGATAGTTTGACAGAAACCAGCACCGATGCAGGTCAGTTTGAAACATGTTAGTAGATATAAGCAGATAGATATGCGTAGGTCAAAATTGGATAGTAATCAAATTAGAAGTTTATCTTGTTATTATAAAAAAGCAAATATGTATAACTGCGAGCAGAAGAATAATCTGTTTTCTTCAATATTGTCAAACACCGTGCTAAACAACAATCAAGCTCACATCGATAAATCATAATTGAATTATTATTATAAATAAAAAGGATTCATGTGACTGGATAATGAATTATATCTAATATCAGTCAGTGGCGTAACTAGACCCTCCGGGGCCCTTGGCAAAGTCTTCCGATGGGGCCTCGTGGTACTCAATTTTTAATTTATTTAATTTTGAAAAATTCAGAAAATTATAGAAAATTAGATAAAAAATAATTAGAATGATAAATAAATATTCTTCTCATTTTATGTATTTTTATATTTTGTGATAAAAAATTTCTTCTTAAGGGGGCCCCCAAACAAATTTTGATACAAGGCCCCGCGAAGGCGCCCTAAGGCCCCTGATATTGAAAAAAGAGTTCTTCACGTGTTCGTTTTTTATCTTAAAAGTCGATAAAGTATAAATTATTATATATACAATAATAAACTCATTATTTCATTCTTGATATCATAATATATAAACTAAAGATTTTCCAACGCAGCTCTTTATCGCATAAAACATAAAACACAATACTTTCGCTATGCGGCGGCGACTCCTTTGGTTTAAACTAACTAAATATTCGGCCGAATGCAAGTTCGATGCAAGTCTGGTTAAATAATTACTTCGACTTTGAACTTAAAAATATAAAATATAAGTTTCAAGTGAAATAAAATTTATATATTTTAACAATGTAAAAATGTATTTCTGAGTCCGCGGTTCCCTGGACCGGGGCCCCCTTAGGTTGGGGGCCCGTGGCATTTTGCCACCCACGCCACCCTATAGTTACGCCACTGATATCAGTAATAATGAGAGTAGTAATATCAGGAATAATAAGTGAACTGTTCAAACCTAATGTTGCAGTTTGTATTCGTTTTTTTAAATCATATGTATTTAAATATTTTTGCTCGCTGTTGTGTGATTCGATATTGCTTTTGCAGCACGTCTAAATTAAACAAATAAACCTCACTGCTTCACCCAATTAATTAATCAGAATGATAAATAACCTATATATATAATAATAACATAAATTTTCATATAGTTTGCAGAAAGCTTACAGTTACAATGTAATTCTAATTTTTGTGACAAAAATTGATTTTTTATGTAAAATGTAAATGAAAATAACTGATGAAATTTCAGTACTTTGAATTATCCAATATCTGTTTCTATTGGCGATTCACAGAGAAGCCAATTTGTATGTAGAATAGTTAGTTAGGGATAAGTTTTACCAAAATCAAGCAGTAGTTTTACTGCAATAATGGAGGCCCTTGCGACATTGATACAGGTGACGGTAAGCCAGCTGCCATCCCTCCGAGTGTGAATCAAACATTAAATACCTCGAGTGACACTAACAAAAATGTTACCCCGCCGACAACAGCCGGAGAGGTCTATGACATTCCAGTCAGTAAGTACAAAATTTCAAATTATTTTGTTAGAAGATGGTTGTTTTTTATTTATGTTGTGATATTAACCTATATTTTGTAGGATGCTTCGTATTCATTTGATTTATTCGATATCAAATTTTGTTTGTAGGTTTTAGTAGATTTATTTACGTTATATTCATCTACATCATTATTTCTGTGTGTAGAAACATCATCCTTATAAAAAGCGACAGGCAGTGCTTTCGAATAATAGTATTCATTAAATTAAATATTAATCTCTTTAAAATCTGAATCACTGATAAGTGAAGAGGAGCTTATTTTATTTGGACCATTAGAGTTTTGGAAAATTAGAGTAAATGTTTGAGTATTCAGAGAGTAATTAATGAAAACCAGAATATTTCAAAGATTTTTTTTAAATGCATTCTAATACATGGTAATATTGTCATTGTTTATAGTTAAATATTGATGCAAAACGGTTCATTATTTTTTCACATAATTAACTTCCTGAACGACAAGTTATATAAGGTAATTATATGTTTTCTGGATATTTTTGTCAGTTATTCTGAATTAGGGAATGCAATACCGATGGAAAATTTCATTACCGATATTTCGGTAATTTTTCATTTTAAAACCGGTATACCGGTAAATTAACGGTATGTTTATTATCTTAAACAAACGTAAACAAAATTGAAAGTTTCTAGTACAAATATAAAAAAATGTATATACAACTACAACTATATTCAACCTAAACAATAAAATAAAAAAATAAGTAATAATTTAACAAAATTATATCCAATTTAATTAATTTATTATCACTATCGAGTATATTGAGTAGTTTTCACCAAAAATAAACGTATAAATAAGAAAGACCAAAAACTCATAAAAAATCACATTACATTATTATAATAAACAGTATTGTTTGTATCCGATGTGTAAATTAGCATAATCTTCAATATTTAAAAAAAATAATTTTCTACACTAATTTAAGATCGGATACTTTGTCAAGATATATAATAATTTACTATAATTGTTGAATATTGTTATTTAAAACAATGTGATGCTTCTATAGTATTTTCAAACTTCGAAACGTTTTCGAAAAATAATATTTTATAATTTTAATAAAAACCAAAAATATTTAGTAATTATCATAATTATTATGTATAAAGTTAGAAAAAAATAAAGATTACGCAGAGGTAATCTGTATGATATAAAATATTTTGACGCAAATATCACTTAAAAACCGTTACATTTTTGCATAAGATGAAACAAACACCATTATCTATCTATCTATCTATCTATCAGTCCAATTCTATTTATTGTAACACGATATGAAGCCCTTAGTAAAGCAATAAATATTCAGTTTAATGACGAGTTGAGATAATATTTGGCATTAGTTTATAGTATAGAATCACTTGAAGATATAGTGTTTATGCGATTATGGAATTTAAAGATAAATTTGTTCCGAGAAATTTAAACATTTATTTAAACTTTAGTGCATTATGTATCAAATAGCGCTTATGTAAAAATACCGAAAATACCGGTAATTTTGGGGTAAATACCGGTAAAAATACCGCCGAAAAATTGGGCGGTTTACCGGTAAATCGGTATACCGGTATACCGGTAATGCATTCCCTATTCTGAATCGTGTGTGGTATTTGTATGTTACAAAATTTGATGATTTGTCGACGTATTTATCAAAAACGACAGCAATTATTTCAAAAATTTTAAAAGGCCATTCGAAGAAATTTTATCATGGCTCATGTTGATTAGTTTTTTGTGTCAAAAGTTATATCCACGTTACCGCTGATCCGATTTTGAAAATTTAAAAACCCCTCGTCCAGGCCGTTCAATAAATTTTTTATCTAAATATTATACTTTATTGTCACGAAGTTTTATCATTTCCAACGCATATTTACCGTTTGTTAAATGCATTGTTCAATATTATGAAGATGTGTAATTTATATTTGTGCTGATCGTTACTAGACCACATTATTATTGAAATTTTTTCTGCAGGCGCAACAACTACGGATTTACCACCTGGAGTACTGTACAGAGTGAAGGCGACATACAAGTATAATCGGGAAGACGTAGATGAGTTGTCCTTCGAGGTGGGAGATACAATTCGCGTCATTGAATACGAAGACCCAGAGGAACAGGTATATACAATTAACTTTATTTACAGAGATATTTATTAATATACAGTATACAGTCGACCCTTCTATAACGCAGTAACGTAATATGGAAACCGCGCGGTAAGAAACTGAGAATTAGTACATCACAATTTGTACGGCGTTATTTTGAGACTAATAAAAACAGAAGGCATGATGAACAATTAATAATTTTATTAAAGTGAAGAAATAATTCATACGATGTAATGATAAAAATATAAACTATTTTGTATTGAATTGAAGAGTTTATATAAGGATCTGATAAAAAAAATGAAGCAAATGCCAATCTAAAAAACTGTTTTTTAACAAAAAACATTTCATGCACAATTTTATCTAGAAAAGCCTCTGACACTGCTAAAACCGATGCCGAATATAGGTATGATATAAACTGTCATGTTTATATAAACATATTGTAAACAAAATAGTCAATACCAAATCTTATATTGAAATATTTTACAATATCTAGTTACTAAAGTCATTCGACAGTTGCTCGGAAACTACTTTTGGGCTGTTCAACGAAAAACTGCACTGTAGGAGTACCGCGTTATTGAAGTGTTGACTGTATTATACATTATATTAGAGTATTGTGTTGGTACACTAAACATAATCAATCAAACAATTAAAATCAGTTTCACGTTTCATCATAATTTTACGGTGGATTTGAATGCGTAATTCAACATTTGTATCAATGTTGTATTTAAAAAACCAACCCTTCTAGTTATTGATTTATAGCATGTATTCATTATGATATATTCAATTGTAATAATCAAATGCTAATCATTTTTATACATTCCCGCTGTAAAATCAAATTGTTAAAAATATAGTTTAAAGCTTCTGACTAATGAAATATAAATGAAATTAAATTAAATATAGGATAAGTTCAGCTAATATTTCATGTATTTTTTTATAAATTAAAGGAAGAAGGATGGTTAATGGGACTGAAAGAAGGGACCAATGAAAAGGGAATGTTCCCAGCCAATTTCACTAGACCGATATAATTAAAACATTATTAATAACATCATTATCGTCAAATTAATTAGCAGGAGATATCTCCAGCAATCATTCAATCAAGTGTCAAAATCTATAAGATTTTTTATATTACTTATTTACTATATATAATAGATTCTTATATATATATATATATATATATATATATATATATATATATATATATATATATAATATGCAAAATAGTAGACATATCTTGCATAAAATATTACTTAAACGTTCTGTAAATTTGTATAACTTATACACATGTCAACAAGTTCTTTTTTATTTCATAATAATTTTAAAATGGAACAAAATAATAATGTTGTTAATTAGAAAAGTTGCAATACACATTACAGTAATTTTTATATCTGGACATATGATTTTAAGATTCCTTGTTGCCAAAAACGTTGTTTCATACAGATGTACAGATTTAACCATTTATTTTGATAAGCTTGTCTAAGAATATTTTGGGTTTATAAGGCTTATTGAATTAGAAAAGTAATCAGGTGCGTATGGTTCAAATGCGTTAAAATGGTCTAGTGAGTAAAGATTTAAGTATGCGCTTTGAACACATGTTTGTTTTTTGTTTTTTTTCTCTGTTGATATTTTCAAATATTTCACTCGACTGTATTTAAAATGTGCCTTTTTATAAAAAAGTGCTATATTAGTTACAGGTATTATGTTTCAAAGCAGTTTAGCAATAATATTAGCAATATCATTAGCAATATTTTACAGCGTTCTTATTGCTATAAAAATCTATTCTTTGAGTCAATGCTTTGATACATTATACCTTAAAAATTGAGAGTTTATTAGTTTATATTAAATAATATATACATATTTAATGTTATTAAAACGTAATTTAAGAAAAAAGAATTTAATTAATATATGAAGTTTCTGAGTTATAAAAAAAAAACTATGATATTAAAACAATCCTCTTTTAGTAATTTATTATTTATTCAAGGACTCATTTTAAATAAGCCGCAATTGGATGATGGTAACAGAACTTAATATTAGCGGACATTAACATTTACGAATTTTGTTTTATTTTGTTGTTACTAAATGGAAGAATAATGATAAGATGAGTGAATATTCATAATGAGTTGAAAATTAAAATATATTAAAATATATTCATCATTGATGTTTCTCGGAAGTATCAGAGCCGAAAATAATAATTTTAGAATGGAGAACCTTCACAACCAGCAATCCTATGCTGCCAAAAATTCTCTTTTGTGAACAAAGGTTTTTAACACCAATGGTGAAAGATATTAAATAAACTAAAAAGGGCGTGGTGAAATAATTTGTAAATAGTTATGTAAAATAGAACAGTTTTAAATTACAAGATGTGAATTTTCTTGCTATTTAAAATTTATTTTGGGTTTCATGCATTTTACTCTGTACAACAATATCACTATTTTTGTATTAATTGATATGCATTTTAATTTGGCTACTAATACTTCTATGAAAATTCATTTTTTAAATAAGTGGTTTAAATAAATAATTTCATTGAAAAGTCACATCAAAACTTTTCTCCAAATATAGTTCTATAATATTTAGTTTTTAGCCTGTTATCACTATCAGATTAAATTATAAATTGTTTGTAATTGGCTAATTGTAAAGTGTTTATAAATGAACTTTTGTTGTCATTTGTTATGAAGATATATGTATTTTGAAGCATATTTTTTGTAACATTGTGCAAATGCTTATTTGTTTGGTTGTAATAGGAAAATAATTATGATTCTTATTACTCATTAAACTATAATAAATTTTAGTCCCATGTTAAACATTACAATTAAGTATCTATTTAGCAAAAAAAAAAACTCAAATAATTTTGTTAGATCTGAATTATGGGATTGTTCTAACATCTTAAATTGTAAAAATATGTTTATAAAATATATAAGTATTTGTTAATTCTACGAATATTAGTTGAAGCAGTATGCTAGTTTAACCAATTGTAATACAATACATATGTTGCAAAATATGTTTTTTATGTATAATTTTTCATAATTAAATTTGGAATGCCTTTTGTTAATATTATTAGTTTGCTAATTGTGCCATCCTTACTCAAAGAAAATATACAAAAATACAATAGAAAAATCATTTTCATCATAAAAACTTTTATATTTACCATTGTACAATTTATGTACAGTTATTTAAAATAAAATAAAGTAATGAGATTTTAGAAGTTTATAATGCATATATAAATGTGATTTTATCAATTAAAATCCATTTTGGCCTTGCCATCATTTATGTTCAATATATTGGAATAATTGAGCGTTTTTGATTCAAATTCTTGTAAGCAAGATAAATGTTGGTTATGGACAAACTATCCAATAGCAATGCGATTAATAAGGTGAGTAAAAACAAATTTTGGAATTTTTTCTCACCGACAAATTGTTTACCTAAGCATGAGTAATAGTTGTTTGTATGTGATTTGCAGGAAAACAGGCAACTTTTTATTGCGAGGCGGCTATAGAATATGGGACAAAATTTGTTGGAGGTGTTAATCCAAATAAAGCAGGAACTAAGCATTTAGATTTTCCAGGTTTTGTATCTGTAAAAAAATGTAACGATGCAACTAAAGCTGATTATATATTAGTGTTATATATGTGCAAGAAAAGCTATTTGGAAACTCTTGAAGCTGAGGTTGGTTTAATAGTCTAGAGTAGGTTTAATGTTTATTTATGGCCCCACAATTGTATGCCATAAGTCCATATTGGTTTTATTACCATCTTTTAAATTAGTGCTTGTATTACCCCAAATAATTGATGGGTGTTTATTGGGTTCCACTGTTGCTACTGTATGTTTCCTTGGAAAAAGATTTTGTTGAAACTGAAAACTATGTTACCAGTCTATAATTATTTAGGTTTTACTCTATGTGTTAATTTTTGTTTTAAAGATCATTAAAATAAATGAACAGTCTGTGCTGAGCCTTGGTTGGGCAAGTATTTTGTCTAGGAGTGTCTTTATCAAAATAATACATTTTTATATCATAATGGATGGATTTAGAGATAAAGTGTTTTTGTAAGGAAATATGATTTGGGTGAGTACTGCATAATGTTTTATATTTGAAATTTTAGGCAGAAATGGTTTATGTTTATGTATTCATAAATATTTGGGCACACATTTGGGATAATTCTAAATAAATATATTTTCAACACATTTATGTTTACAATGTAATATTTATTTAGATCCAAAACACATTTTAATACATGAATTTATTACTCTAAACAAAATATCCTACACAATATAATAATGCTAATGCTAAACATTGAATTGATATAAATTTGTTTGAGGCCAGAAATGTCAAACTTGTTGGCAGTTGCTTTTAGGTTAAATGTCTGTTGCGACAAGTTTATTTTTAAAAGTGTTTTAAAATTAGTAATTAATTTAATAAATGTTTGATAATTATGTAAAACAACTCCGAATTTGTGCGTTTTTCTTACTTTTTTATTGTTATTAATAATGTTATTAATTATTGTTAATAATAATCAGAAACATTTCAAAATATTATTTTGAAAATATTTATTAGTTAAACAAAAGGTATTATTTATACAATGAAATAAAGTTTTTAGTGCATTTCTTTGAAAAAAATATTCGTGAATTAATTTTCGTGTTGAGAATATTATAGTTTTCATTAATAATTCAATATTCAGATCATAAATGGGTCAAAAAATAAATAAATATCTGCTATGTAAGTAATTCTTTTTTCTTTTTAATCATAAGTGCCATTTCTAATTAAATTAATTAATCCACGGATTTTTATAAAATACATTTAACTCAATTTGAAAATGATATCACGTTCAATCCATGGATTACTGTCCCCGTTTTTTTTTTAATACATTTTACTCAATTTGAAAATGATATCAAGTTAAATCCATAAATTGCTATACACGGATTTTTTTTAAAAATACATTTTACTCAATTCGAAAATGATATCAAGTTATTCGATAAATAGAAATGATGTATTCTACAATTTTATAAAATTAAATAATATATAATTTATTCAAATATATAAATATCCTACAGCAAGTCGTTCTACTATTGACTATAATCTTATTTTAAATGTGTTTCTTTAGATACATTTTTATTCTTATTACAGGTGCTTTTGATTTATAAGAATGCCTTAAAAGGAACCTTAAATCCTGAATCTCCCATATATGAGAGGGAACTTATGATCGACAACAAATTGGAAAAAGACTTTTTGAAGAAAAGGACGGAATTATCTTGTTTGATGAGCTTTCAGGGCGTCTACCACTGCAAAAGAGCAAAATCTGGTTGCAACATTGAAATTATATCCAAAAAATGATGTTTTTTTCACGATTTTCAAAATGTTTGAACCGATTCCAAAAGATTTTGGGACTCTGATTTCAAAAATGCTATACGTTTTTGGATAAATTCATCTTTGAAATCTTTGATTCCAAAGTCATTTTTTTTTTTAAAAAAAAATCCGTTTTCTTTCGCGATTTTCAAAATGTTTTGATTGGTTTTGATAGATTTAGAGTCGATGAATTTGAAAATGTTATATATTTTTGGATTGTCGGATTCGAACCAGCTTCCTTCGGGTTGGAGTCTAGTTGAACGCTCTAACCGATTCGGCCACGGCGACCAAGATTGTCCGACGACAATTATTGGAAGGACATTCTTCGACGACCGACCATCATGATTCGACTCAAGGTCACAGGGGGATGATATGAAAGTATTAAATGTTCACCCTGGGGGTTGAAAGTGGGCTCATTCGATTCTGTGGGTCCTTGCGAATTTCAAGCGGGGGGTTACAGGGGGGAAAATTTCGTCCGTTTTTCGCTCAGGAGACGAGAAAATCGACTTTTTGTAAATTTTACGATTTTTGTATGGGGATTTTTCGAAAGTTTTTTGCTGGCTTCAAAGATTCGGTCAAGGTCATTTATATGTGGTCAAGGTCAAAGAGATTCATATAAACGACCTTTGAGGCCAGCAAAAATCTATATATATATATATATATATATATATATACACATACACATACACAAACACATACATTTATATTTATATATATATATATATATATATGCATATATATTATGTTGATTTTTGTAATACTG